TCTAGAAAAAGCGCAGAAAAGAGCAACCAGGATGATTAGGGGACTGGAGGTTAAAACATATAAAGAACGGTTACAGGAACTGGGCTTGGCTAGTCTAGCGAAGAGAAGGACCAGGGGAAACCCGATAGCAGTCTTCCAATATTTGAGGGGCTGCCACGGAGAGGAGGGGGCCAAACTATTTTCTAAGGCACCTGAAGGCCAGACAATTAATAATGGATGGAAACTGAACAAGGAGAGATTCAACCTAGAAATAAGGAGAATTTTTCTGACAGTGAGAACAATCAACTAATGGAATAGCTTGCCTTCGGAAGTTGTGGGAGCTTCATCACTGAAGGCTTTCAAGAAGAGACTGTCAGAAATGGGGTAGGGTCTCCTGCTTGGGTGGGGGTTGGAATAGATAAACTACAGGATCCCTTCCAACTCTGGTATACTGTAATCTGTAATTTTGGCAGATGGAGTTGCTGCTCCTTCATTTGCTGCTGATCTTCTTTATCTTATTGTTTTTTACAATGGGATGTTCTCATTATCCAGTCCCTCCTAAATAGCTGCTGGGGATTTGAAAGTCTTGGGGGATCCATCAACACTATAATCAAACCAAATGCATGACCTGCTTTTTCAGAAACTTCAGATGAAGAAATTCCTTTTTAGAATTAGAATTTTTTTATTGGCCAAGTGTGATTGGACACATAAGGAATTTGTCTTTGGTGCATAAGCTCTCAGTGTATATAAAAATACATTCATCAAGAATCATCTTGCAATATTTAGTGATAGTCATAGGATACTAAATATGCAATCAAATCATACTAGGAAACTAAATAAAGCAATATGAATCATAAAGATACAAACAACAAGGTTATAGTCATAAGTGGGAGTAGATAAGTAATAGGAAGGATAAGAAGAATAGGAATACAGTCTTAGTAAATAGTTTACATGTTGAGGGAATTATTTGTTTAGCAGAGTGATGGTGTTCAGGAAAAAATTGTCCTTGTGTCTAGTTGTTCTGGTGTGCAGTGCTCTATAGCGTCGTTTTGAGGATAGGAGTTGAAACTGTTTATGTCCAGGATGCGAGAAGTCTGTAAATATTTTTACAGCCCTCTTTTTGACTCGTGCAGTATACAGGTCCTCGATGGAAGGCAGGTTGGTAGTAATTGTTTTTTCTGCAGTCCTAATTATCCTCTGAAGTCTGTGTCTGTCCTGTTGGGTTGGAGAACCAAACCAGACACTTATAGAAGTGCAGATGACAGACTCAATCATTCCTCTGTAGAACTGGATCAGCAGCTCCTTGGGCAGTTTGAGCTTCCTGAGTTGGTGCAGAAAGTACATTCTTTGCTGTGCTTTTTTTGATGACCGTTTTTGACATTAGGTGTCCATTTTAAGTCTTGAAAAGACACCAAGTGCCTTTTCTTTTTCTGCAATCTCCTTGACAAATGTCACAACGCACCAATCACAGCATATATTAATTGTCCCAAAAACTCCTTAGATGAATTCTTCTCCATCTCTCTGAAGCTGATAAGGCAAAAGAGTCTTCAGGGCAAAGCAGGGTAGCAAAGGACCCAGAAGCACCTACAGTTTCTATTTAATATGCCATTTTTAGCCAGAGAAGTAGATCAAAAGAGGAGAAACCCCGGACAATGGAATTTGGTGGTCATGGCAAAGATTCCACTGAGGCCAATTTGCTTTTGTTAGTCGATGCAGATTGATTGATTATGTGCCATTAAGTCATTTTCAACTCCTGTTCTTTTCAAGCCTCCCAAGTGTGCAGTATTGTAACTGAGTCCATCCATTTTGCTGCTGACTGTCTTCTTTTCCTTCCTTCCACCTTTCCCAGCATTTTAGCCTTCTCCAGAGATTCGGGTCTGTCCAAAGCAGTGGTGGGATTCAAAATCTTTTACTACCGGTTCTATGGGCATGGCTTGGTGGGTGTGGCATGGCTTGGTCAGCATGGCAGGAGATGGATACTGTTGTCAGCTTTGGAAGCCATATTAGCACCAGAAGCTTCCACACTGCCACATTCTTGAGCCTGGGAAGATGAGATGGGGGAATTTCATGGAGCGCATGTGGTTAGACATAACAGCATTCTTCTTCTAACTCAAGGTCATGATATTTCTGCACCTGGCTGAGGAGTGGTTGAGAGGACATCTCAAGTTGGGATGGATGGTGATTGGTCATGTGATGGAATGATGGTGGCAGGGGATGGATTTGTAATATTTTACTTATTGGAGGGAAAAGAGGAAATTTCAGATTTGGGATTTCCCAGATGTGCCAGTTTACTCCTCTAATAAAACTTTGAGAACATGCCTAGTTCAGAGTTATCTGTTGGAGTCGAGTTTTTCTGGAATGCTGACAACTGTAAAATCTCCGTTCCTACCCCACTGCAGGGGAAGGATACTGTAAAATCCCTATTCCCTCCCCACCCCACTAACTTGCTTTCCAGCTCCATTCTCCAGGGCAACAAAAGAAGACCCAGCCAATCAACTGGGACTCAGGAGGCAGAGAATAGATGGGGTCAGGGCCAGTTAGAGGTGGTATTTGCCAGTTCTCCGAACTACTCAAAATTCCTGCTACCGGTTCTCCAGAACTGGTTAGAACCTGTTGAATATCACCTCTGGTCATCACTATTGTAACTGAGTTCATCCACTTTGCTGCTGACTGTCCTCTTTCCTTCCACCTTTCCCAGCATTCTAGCCTTCTTCAGAGATTTGGGTCTTCACATAATGTGTCCAAAGTAGGATAATTTGAATCTGGTCACTTGTACCTCAATGTGAGCAGGAGTTGATTTGTTTGATGATCAATAGTTTTTATTAACTGTACATGGTATTGTCAAGAGTCTTCTCCAACTTTCAAGAAGAGACTTCAGAAGTGTCAATATTTTTCTTACTTTGCTTCTTCATTTTTCACTTCCACAAAGTGGAATGACTTGTCTTTGTTAGGAATGTAAGTCACCTAACAGTTAGTTGGGTTGGAAAATATATAAACCAGGATAGACATTTTAATACTGTCTCTTTAAGAGAATGCTAAAAGTGTAATTGGGTATGGTTCTTCAAACGGCCATAAGATGGAGCCAGAAACCTGGGTTGTTTAGTTCTGTTCTGTTGTTGCTGAGAGTGTGTTCCTCCATTTTTCCCTATTGACTGTTATTCTTGGATTTGATGAAAATCTGTTACTGAACTGTTTTTGATACTGGACTTTGTTATTGGATTATCCCTGGACTGAAAACTGACTGCTTTAACTGTGAATGACTTGGACTGCTTGTATGGACTTTGCTTAAACATTTATTGGAAGTAAAAACCTACATTTTACTATACAGTGTATCTGTGTGCTAGTTGTGTGTTATTCTTCACTACTCTCACTACGTCTCCCTGTGTGCGCTCATTCTCCTAACTGGGAATTACCTCAACAGTCTTGGGTGATTCTGATTTTTATAGGTATAGACTCATTGCAGCATTTGAAAGTCTTTTCCAAAGCCTTCAGAACTACTTTACCAAGTGCTAGTCTGTGGCACATATTTCTTGACTGCTTGTTCCTTTAGTATTGAAGGTTGACCCTAAAGGCAGAAGCTATCCTTCACTTCATTGTCTTAACAGAATAAACAGAATTGGAAGGGACCTTGGAGGTCTTCTTACCCAACCCCATGTTCCAGCAGGAAACCTTCTTTCATTCCAGACAAATGGCTGTCCAATTTCTTCTTAAAAACCTCCAGTGATGGAACGTCCACAACTTCTGGTGGCAAGCCCTTCCACTGATTAATTGTTCTAACAGTCAGGAAATTTATTAAGTTTCCATCTATTGCTTTGGAGAATAGATTGACCCTCCTCTTCTTTGTGATAGTGCCTTAACTATTGGAAGACTGATATCATGTCACCCCTAGTCCTTATCTAGGTATACCCAGTTCCTGCAACCCAGTCCTTGCAATTATTCTTCATCTGTTTTAGCCTCCAGTCCTCTAATCATCTATGTTGCTGTTTTTTGTACTCTTTCTAGAGTCTCAACATCTTTTTTTATATTGTGGTGACCAAAACTGGATGAAGTATTCCAGGTGCAGTCTTACCAAGGCATTATAATGTGCTACTTACACTTCATGTGAACTTGATACTATCCCCCTGTTGATGCAGCCTAGGACTGCATTGGATTTTTTTGGCTGCTGGCTCATATTTAAGTGGTTGCCCGCTAGGACTCCTAGATCCCTTTCATATTTCCTACGATTGAGCAAAGTGCCACCTATTCTATACCTGTGCATTTGGTTTTTCTTTTCTTTCCTATAATTTTTTATTATTCAAAGGATTAAAATGCAGAATCCAAAGGAAAAAAAAATAAACAAAAAACAAAACAAAACTGGACAAAAACATTAAAAAGTGAAAGACCAAAAACAAAAACATATTATTATATAACCTGTTTGCAACTGTATTGACCTGACATACATTTGTATATATGAAGAAAACAATAGTTAATGTGAATAAAGTGAATAAACATGAAAAAGTTGAACTGATGGATAATATAATATGCTGGACATATAGGGTTCGGTTGCAGATCAGATTAAAAGCAACAGATTGCACAGGAAGAACTTTCCAATATATGAAAAGTCAGCAAAAAATTATGAATTCTAGAATAGCAGTAAAACTGAATTCCCCTTTCCCTTCTCTTATGTGTCACATGCAGTACTGTACACAGAATATTTCTTCCATTGTTTAGTTTTTAATTTAGAAGTTGAATATGCCAAAATTAAGTACAAGAAATCCAAGTACAAGAGTACGCTCTTGAGGGA